CCATTGATGCTACTTATGTGCACAAAAGACATCTTTACTTGCCGAGAATATGTGCAGATCTTCGAAAATGATTTCGATAAGAATATCTTGCATATATAAAACATGCTAATCTTGCTAAAAGAATTTCCAAATCGATTTTTTATTGGACATACAGTACACTTCAGTTCTGATAACCTGAAGCGTCTGCAACGGCCAATAGTATGAGTTGTCGAAGTCATACCTGGAAAGGATGGTACTGCGAGAATTGTAAAACTGAAAACAAAATCCGGCATCATAACAAGACCTATACAACGTGTTTATCCTTTAGAACTGTCAGATGATCTTGAAGGTCCCGTTATGAGAGGCAAAGCCCTTACTGATTGTAAGACAATGACTAGAATTGATGACTCCAGAGGTCATGTTCCACTAGAAAGACAATCAGAATCCTTACCTCAAGTCACTGTCACTCGTAATGGACAAACTGTGAGACCTGTTCATAGAGTGCAATTGTGACATGTGTGAGAGTAGGTTGAGTTCCTCCAGAACTCAAGGTGGGAGAATGTCACTGATGAGCAACCTCACGAACTGAAGAGAACTGAGGACTAAAATAAAACCAGAGACTTAAGAGTCAGAACGAGAATGAACGGAAAGCAGCCATGAATGCTGCGTGTTTGTGAACACATGTTACGTGTTTGTAATTTATATGCTTCTATGATTTAAGTTCTTTTGTAACTACTAATAAACTATGTTTGTGTTGCGAAATGAAGCCTCCCATTTTTCGACTGGAATTTTAGAATTCTTCAATCAAGCTTTTTTTCACCACAAAGACATTCGACCACAAAGAAGACAAAAGGGTAAGTTTACTACCTTTCGACTTATTTTACTGGTCTTCTAAAAGCAAAAAACACATTAATTGCCTTTTTGTGGAGCAGAGGTTGCCAAATATTGAGAAGCATCATTTTAAAGCGCTTTAAATTCTGCAATGAGTGGTGGCAGTAATGAACATGACATTATAAATAGAATTGATTGCAATATTAACAATTATTCAGAAGCCAAAGTTACCATCATCTGAAAAGATCTGGCTCAACAAGAGGAAGGTAAACTAATCTGGATGCCATCCTGCATTCCCTCCAGACTATGTCTGGTGAGAAAATCAACATCAAAGGAAAGTTTAACATCCCATTTGGAATTGCAGCTTAACATCAGCATATACTATAGCAGATATTATCGACCCCTTGAATACTTGGATTAGACTTTCTAAGGAAATACAATTTTTTCTATGATTTTTTAAAAAATAACTAACTGCATTCTACCTCTGAGAACATAAACCCTGTTCAGAATTAAATTTGAAGTCGTGAAATCCGTCCACCAAATCATAGCTCAAAACGATGTCACAGTACAGAAAAGAATTTTTACTATGTGGATCCATAGTGGGAAACAGAAATTTCCAGTAAGATATAAAGGAATATCCTAAGAAATGTAACACACTGGCGAGGTGTGCAACTACCCTTGGTACTTGTTGACTTATCGAGGACCATCATCCCGGTGAGAGATACCAAAGTCAGTGATGAAGCGTAAACCATTCCGAAAGGCGTAGTGGTCACAGCATGTACTCCCACTTACCTGCATTTAACAACTCAATAGTCCACTTCGAACAACCTTACATTGGAGTTACTGCAGAATGATGTGAAGAAGAGAAGAATGCTACCGAACGTGTCATTCAAGAAGCTTTCTTTGGCATATCTTCTGACGTAAGTCGAACAAGTTTGGCTCAGTATAGAATTGACATAGAAAATCAATTAAATCTCCAGAGAGCCATGATTAGATAATTAGTGTAGTTATAAAAAGGGGTTTAATTTCTGATCCCCTTCCTTTAAAGAAACAGAAGTTTCAAACTCCCCAACTCTTTCTCACACTGACGCAAAGCATCGAATGTACATAAAATTGTTGAATTTTCAAAATTATTCTTTGTCCCCTTGGCACAGTATGAGAATCACTGCTCTAATATAAAGGTTTTATATGACATTTATTTAAAAATTCAGTTTTTGTATGATATAGAAGCCTTTTATCTTTTCACCTTTTCAGGTTGTAATATTTAGAAAATCAAATTGTCTGAATGAAAAAAGGAGACGATAGTGTTCACAGGTGCTTTCATTAGCAAAAAGTTTTTTGGCTCAGTTTTGTTGCATACCACCTTTATATTCAAATATAAGAAACCAAAACTATGTCATAATTTACAATTTCATTGGGTTCTCTCTTTATAACTTATCCCACTCACTGTACTTCCTCAAAAACATACTTCCCCTACATATACGAGTACTTTTATAGTTGAGGGAGGTACTAGTCACCTTCCATCCTGGAAAATGTCATAATGGCATCCATGCGTATGCTCGTTTCTGAATGTCTTTGATGGCTGCTAGTCTTAGAGTTTTTTTTTCCCTTCGCTTTCTTGAAATGTTGCTTTCAGTGAATGTAAGTGAATAAAAGAATTTTAATATATACCTTTGGCCTGCCACCTAGTGGCACACATGCCATAGGTCCGTCATCCCTGCTGCAGATAGTAATTAAGGATAATGGACCAGCCTATTAAATATTTTAGTTTATTGTCATATTATCACAAGATGTTAACTTTTCACTAAATATACATTCAACAATAAACATTTATAAGTCTAGAAATACGGGGAGCTTTTCCTGCTTCAAATAGGACATTGCATCCTCTCCTTGCAAGTTCTTTCAAACAACTGACAATTTCCTTCCTATCTCAGATACCCACCAGCAACTGAGGAGTAAAGTCGCTGAACACTGGTAGTTCGGTCTGAGGTTCAAATTCCGCGAACGGGCTTGCTGCTTGGATGTTTTCATAGTTTTCTCCATGTGTAACGTGTATACGAGCCAGTTTCCCTTAGAAAGTCCTCCACAAAGACATCCATTCCCTTAGGCAGGTAGTCCTCGAGGCTTTGGCATAATTCTTAAAATTAACCTTCTTGTCACAGAAGTACAGTTGAATGATCAAAATTATATTTTCTTTATCTTTTAAAAATGATGCCATTTTTGTTAAATATTACAGTCATATACTGCACAGTCATGCACTGTTACTTATACAAGTTCTTACAATGAAGATTATTTTTGACAGCACGGAAGAATTCTTGATAAACCATCATTACTTGTAAGTCATAGCATGGAAATGATAAAGAAATTATCGTTTGATCTCATTTCGTTGAATTTTTTGACTGGTTGTCTATGGTATAAAATGAGAAATGCATACAGTGTTCGGACAAGAGAAGACATTTTAAGCAATGGTTTTATTAGCAGTTGGTACTTTGGCAGAAAAGTTTCTAAAATCTGTTAAGGAAGGCATTTGTCTTCTTGAAAAAACATCATCCTACAATGATGCAGAACAGTTATTAGATGAAAAAAAAAGTGTCATGTTTCTTTCTCCTAATGTGACTTTGTTGTATCAACTGTGCACCATGACATTTTAGAAGCACTGAAGAAGAGATACAGACATAAACTTCATTTATCTCTTGTCTCAGCCATGAAGGAAAGATTTGGCATGATTGATAAATTGAAGTAAACAAAAATGTTGGACATAATGAGGTGGGTATCTGAATCTTGGATTGAAATATGTTCCTGTAAAAAGTTGCTGGAATGTTCAGGAAACATGTTTCAAGAATGCAGAGAATAGACAGAAAATAGTGAAAAAGTGGACTTACTAAAAAATATTCTAAGCTGCAAAGAAGCTGATGCAGGAGAATGGATGTGGCAGGATGAAAACTAAAAACTTTTAGGAGATAGTGAAATGTCTGAAACAGTGAAACAGAATGAGGGTAAAAATGAAGATGAAGAGATGGATGACAATGAAAATTTCATTAGATGATTCGAAGAAATGCCACATCTGCTATGGACATTTTACTTATTTCTCTGTTGCCTACATAAAAAAGCTGATGAAGATAAAATAAGTGCAACAGTTAGTCATTCAGGACCAGATTTTTTTTCAATGAACTATTAGCCATTTCTTCAGTTTTATATCTTTTTTAGAGTGCAACAGTTATTTTAGGGTATATTGTATTTTTCTGTTTTTCTGTATTGTGCTAGAACTTTCAATAGAGTAATATGAAAAAAATTAGGTACTTATATATTATGTCATTGGCTATAAAACTATTGCCAAGCAGTGCGATTTAGTACCATTTACAAGTTATAACAACACACTTAAAACATCTGCACTCTCGTTAAAAGTAACCCCAGTTGATTTTCAATAAGCCACATTTCATTTATATGAAAAAAGATATAGATTAACTACTATTGCTACATTTTATTCTTACATTAAACAAAAAAATAAATTTGGGATCTGCTTTTGTGGATTAAAGTTGTGAAGCTTTATTATCAAAAATAAGTGCATTAATGGACACAATATGGTCAGCTGACTATAGCTGACAAAATAGTAATAAACTGGAACAATTACTTGTGATAAATTTGTACGCATAACGTTTTAAAAACAGCATCTGGTAACAATAGAGGGCCTAAGAAAATAGTAAAAATTGATGAAAGCTTTTCACAATGCACAAAAATGAAGTGGGTCAAATACTGATTGTCTTTTGGGGAAAAATCAGTTCCTCCAGAACTCTGTATGAATGACTGGTGTAATTTCAGTGAGATCTTTGCTAAATTTCATGGTTCGGTAATCGCTAATTTTCATGGTAGACAGGGTAATATGTAAATACCCAATTATTATGAGTTGTGAATAACCCATGCCATTATTCTATAAAATGTGACATTTTTGGCAATTCATCACCTACTAAGTCACATTACGTCTAGTTTGTGGGACTGTAATGTACCTCTATACAAGATTCCAAACTATATTCTATTCAGAAACTTTTATCTCATATTCAGAAAATCAAAACATTTTTAATACTGCTTGTAAATTTTCTATAAGTTTAATCTTTAAATTTTTTTTATGAACAGAAATTTTTAAATGGGATAGGTTTAAAAAAATAAAAGAAATTCAGAGATTTCAGTTTTACCTGGAAATGTTGATTGCACAACAAGGAAATCTCTGTCTATTTCTAATGCCTTGTGATGTGAACCATCTGTAACAGCTTTGCTGCTGTCTGTGGCTATAACACCCACAGCCTCTTCATGACCTTTACCTTGACAAGCCTACATGTTATTGGAATGCTTTAAGACAAATGTCAGTTTCAAATTTAAATTGTTTACAATAAAAGATCATCCATCTACATACAGGGTGGTTATAAAAAAACTTCCTTGATACATGAACCCCTGGCAGCCTATCTACTCAACCAACCAAAATGAAATTTCCGATATTGTTATTTAAAACTACGCACTCGAGATAGAGATGATTTAAAAGAACACAACTCTCACGGTTATGTTTACAGTGCAAAATTTCGAATGGCAACAATCACCTTTTTCCTGCGCAAATTGATCACTGCATTACAAAATCATTAATGGCATTGGAGCAATACATGTAACATGGAAATTCTCAGAGTAAAACATTTACAAAGGACCAATGAAAACACAAGACAGAAAGCAATTTTTTTTATTAGAATTACAAGCTTTCAGCATAGCCACCTTCGCATATGATAATACACTGCATGTGGGAGAGCATGGAAAACAATGACGAATTGCAGAAGGAATCTGAATAACATCATGTTTTATAGCATTTTTCAAATCTGATAAATCCCATGGATTTGACGTGTAGACCTTAGATTTCAGAGGTGTCAACAAATTCCCAGGAACAGAAATCCATCGGTGAGAGTTCGAGGGATCGCAGTGGCTATGAAACTGCAAAGTTATGGAAGATGACTCCATGACTCCATCTTCAAAGTGCTATTGCAGCCCTTGCTGAACACATGTGGTGATGTGTGGAGGAGCACCATCTTGCATCCATACAATGTTCATTAATGACATTTTTCAGCTGCATTTCTGAAGTTATGTAATTCTGCTACATACTGAGTACTTGTGATGGAGCATATTTTCATACCTGTGGAAGTGACCTCTTTGCAGAAGTATGGACCAAGAGTGAATGTGCTTGTAGTGATGCACCACGAAAGTCCTTTAGCTTTGTGTAAAGGTGTTGGCGTCACATTGTAAAGATTTTCATCAGCCCAGACAGCACAGTTCTTGGAGTTTAAGTTCCCAGTTCAGAAGAAATATCTCTTACTTGTCCATAATATACACAGCGGCCACCTGCTATTTTCATCATACTTGATGAGAAAAAAATCGCGAAGTCAATAAGCTGTTGCTCGTTTTCAGGTTGCAACATCTGGATGTGATGGAATTGATGTGGAAACCCATAGAACAGAATACAGATGTTTGAGAACAGCAGTTTTCGGTACATCCAAACTGCAGGCAACACTTCTTGCAGTATGCCAGGGGTTCCCAAAGTGTGCACCATGGCGCCGTGAAAAGTAAACAAGGGCATCGCGAAGTGCTCCTATTTACTCTTTTATGGAATTTCAAATCAAGTGTGCTGCATAAATCGCTCATTTCACAGGAAACCCACAACACTGCTCTTCTCTCACATAAGGAGTCTTAGGAATCGATGATAATTAATTATGAAGATCAAATTAGATGCAAAAATTTCAAACTTAACAACTTTTATTTCATCTGCACTTCCAAGCTACATGAGTGTGTATCCCCCGAGCATTTGACAACTGACTGCCCTTGCTTTATGAGGACCTTAGAAGAGAAAGTTTATACTCTGTAATCAGGTGCTGTCACTTCTCGGCTGTGTGTGAAACATGCCATATTTATAATGGAATTGTAATTCATATATATAATAGTCAGTTTTGGACGTAATGTACCCAACAGATTCCAAACTAATCATCACAGTTTTAGTGGTAGGGGTTAAATTGGTATGATATTTTTTTAGACTTTTCAAATAAGATAACCACAACAAGAGTATCCCCCCAGTGAACAAGCGAAGTGAAAGAACGACAGTATTTACACATACATAGCATAAACAAAAGGGAATTGGGATGCTGGGTTGTGTCAGTTGCTGAAATCACTTACATACATGAAATTAAATAAAAGTAGAAAACAAAATAAAGTAATACAGGTTAAATCTAATTGACATGAATAAATGAAAATAAGGTTTTTCAGTTCTGAAATTTGTAGAGAGTAAATGTGATGTGATGAACATTGAGAAAGAAATAATTCATGAATAATTATGACCAAGCTAACCAATTTCTGTGATAAGTCTCTTGCAAAATTTCACAATTCATCCAGATTTTGTGTTTTTGGAATGGTTGACAGAGTTTCCATTAGTGTTTTCGGGGCTTTAGATTCATGCTCATGAGAAAGCTCACCATGGAGGTGGGGGCCTTGATCACATCTCTCATGACTGATGCGGCTTCGGCGGGCAGGTGCGAAACAATATAATTATACTTCGTGCGAGACTCTGATATCGTTTTTGGTGTTCCCAATCAAATGTTGATTCGCACATGGTGAACCATAGTGCAGGATCGGCGAAGTTGCACACAGGTATCTTCACTGCTCCGATCACTGCTGTTCCTTCCGTCATTTTCAGTCACGTGGCTAAGTCCCAAGTAATAAAAAAAAAGAGAATTTTTTTTTTTTTTTTTTCCCCCCGTGCGAATATTAGTTTAAAACAATAATGCTTGGTTGCTGCAAGGCCTGGGTCATCATTATTAAGAATCGATGATAATTAATTATGAAGATCAAATTAGATGCAAAAATTTCAAACTTAACAACATTTATTTCATCTGCACTTCCAAGCTACACACGTTCGTATCCCCCGAGCATTCGACAACTGACTGCCCTTGTTTTATGAGAATCTTAGAAGAGAAAGTTTATACTCTGTAATCAGGTGCTGCCATCTCTCAGCTGTGCTGGGTTAAATTGGTAGGATGTTTTTTAAAGACTTTTTCAAATAGAATAAACCACAACAGGAGTTTGGGCTGGGTTTGGCAACACAGAATTCTTTGCAAGCTAACGTGAGAGATTTCCAGAAGCCCGCATTCAACTGCCACATCGTATCGACAGGAATTGTAGTGAGCGCTCATGGGTGGTAGTACATAAGACGCCATGTACTGCATTGCCAAGTTAGTTTATTATAAGCGTAGTAGTTAAATTGCTAACAAGTATTAAAAGTGTTCTTGATAGTAATACCGCGGGTTGTGATTTACGAACACAGGAAGATAAACATTATAATATCTATTTAAACATATATGTGAGCAGTTCGGTTGCTTTGTTTTAATTGTGCTGTTTTGTATTTTCTTAAAAAGTTACTCACAAAATGGTAATAATTTTATTAAATAAGCAAGTCGATAGTTCAAGTCAGAGATCAAGCCACAAGTAGCTGCGGAGCAAAAAGGCGAAAATTTTGCAAATACGATGATAGATATTTAGACTTTGACTTTCAGTAGAAGCAAATAATGAAGAAAGACCATGATGTGTGCTCTATGAAAATTCTATCGTCCGAGAGTATGCCAAAACGACATCTGGAGACCATTCACCCTACCATGGTTGAAAAATCCCACAAATGTTTCAGTAAGAAGTTGCAGAATTTACAAAAACAAAAAGACATGTTCACTCAACAAGCTTCAGCAGTGCACTGTTAGCATCTTTCAAGGTGGCATACAGGTTGGCAATGTACAAGAAACCTCACAGCATCACAGAACTTATTTTACCAGCCACTCTCGATTATGGTATGGTTAATATTATGGTAGAAGAATCAAGGCGAAAACTAATTACAAAGATACCTTTATCTAACAACACCAGTGCTTAAATTGCGGCGGAAGCCACCGGAGCCCGGCTCTGGTGCTTCTCAAATTTTAAGATAAATTACAATTTTAGCCGAAGCGCACCGGAGCCCTAAATAAGATGAGCTTCGGTACTTCTTTTTATAAAACTGTACCACAATTTCAAGGAAAAAAACAAAATTTAGAATTCCTAACGTTTTAGTTTAACAATAAGCAGACTTTGCAATACTCTATTTCCCTAGAAATACGAACTCATGAGAACATGAGACGTTCAAGTAAAGTCCCCTCACTCACATGCGGAAACCTTTCCCTTTAAGAAAAGCAATAAAGTCGGGGGAGTTTGTTTAGGAACGCCTAAATTTCTCGCCATGCCATTGTATCTAGTGTATTGTTATCTATGCTTACAGTTAGTTATCCTCGCAGGAAGCAAAATTTGTGTTCTGAAATGTGCGTTAAGTGACAGCGAGTACAATAAGAGTGAAATACTGAGATAAACTGCTCAAGCACGTCCTATACATCGTCTTCCCACAGTATCCACTAATGGGGGGGGAAAGCGTAACCAGCAACTTTACATTTAAGAGTCCGATTCGGGACTCATTTACCCCTGACACCCATCTGCTTGATGGCTATAATTATATCAACAGAGAGCTGCGGTCAAATAGAGCATTCTCTCCCACTGATTCCCCTCATTTTTTGTTTCCACCCACTCATACCCTCCTTCTGTTTCGCCCTGGAATTTTCATCAGCTACACTTTAAGTATATTTCATTTTTGTGATGATAAAAGAACTTAAATTAACCCCCTACGATCAAAACTTAAATTGGGCTGGAACCCACCGGATGTCGGCTCCGGTGTTTCTTAGTTTTTGTAATAAATCATAATTCTTGCCAGAACGCACCGGAGCCCTGAATAAGAAGGCTGCGGCACTTCTTTTATGTAGTTGAATAACAATTTGAGTAGAAATGTTATCTCGAAAATTTTATTTTAATAATAAAATCATCATTATTAAATCGAGTATTAAATTTCAATTACCTCTTTACATTTTATTTAATTTTAATTAGTTAATTACTTTAATCTTTAATTATTTAAATAAAGAATAATTAATTATCTAATAATTATCAATTAAATTATAATGAATTAATTATATAATAATTATTGATTAAATAACAATTTATAAACATAATTAAATAATAAAAAAATTATTATTTAATTAATTGTTAAAATTAATTATTTATTTATTTAATTATTAATTATTAATGAGTTTTAGTCATTTTATTTATTATTTACTCTTGTTTCTTTCTGCTGACAGACTTCCATAGGGCTCCGGCACTTCTAATCTTAGAAATTAAGCCCTGAACAACACTATTAGTCGAAGAATCCCTCATACTGCTAAGGATCTCGGTGACCAATTACTAGAGAAAATGAAAGGCAAGGAA